TGTGTGTGTGTGTGTGTGTGTGTTTTCAGGACAGGATGAAACATTTTGTCGTACATTCACACCTATAGATGTGGAGGGTGACAGGTCGTGCCACAGGAAGGGAGCAGGAGTGTTGGCACTGACCTTCGGGCGACTGGGGTGAACAGACGGACACTTGGGGGAAGGGGGCTGGGGGGTCGGTGAGAGGAGGTGTGGGGGCACACACTGCTTCTGTCAGGCAGCAGCTGATGTGGTGGGACGGGAGAAGGGGTCTCCATTCTCTGTTTTCACACTGCTGACACTTTGGTCAAATCCTTGCTCTGTGTGTGCACTCACGCACAAAAGACAAAAGCAGGAACACACTCGTACACATGCAGGGAAAACACCAATTTATTTACACACACACACACAAACACACACCAAAGTTTTCTGCTGCCCCACCTGCTCCCATAATGAAGCCCTTTCTTTCAAAAAATGTCTCTCTGTTCCCATTTGGCCCCTCCCCTCGCCATAATTAGCGGCCATCACCGCCGCTGAAGGAGAATAGTGGTCTTTAAGCACAACCTGTCTTTGCCTGACACCTTTATGTTTTGCCGAGCATATAGCAATTGTCGCCTTTGTGCGCGGTGTCCTCCATTTACCGGACAGGCGCACAATGGGCCGCCTCGCAGGGGTCCTTACCTGTGAAAAGGACCCCCGACTGTTCACACTATTCAGCCCCTTTACTCTCAATTCATGGTAAAAGACCCCCCCTGCGCTGAATGCCTCTTGTATGCACTACTATTTGTCTGTTTTCATGTGTTTTGAAAACACCAACCATTCACACCTCTCCTCTGTGATGCATGGTGGTATAATGATGCAGGGCCTCAAACAGGAAACAATTTGGACTTTTTCTGTGTGTGTGTCTGTGTGTATCTTTGTCTCTTTGTGTTGCTGTGTGTGGCTGGGCCCTGTGTGTTTGTATGTATTAAATAATTGCGCTAATTGCTGTGTGAAAATTGGTGTCTGCTGAAGGGAGAGCAGGGATTAGAGTGGTGTAATTTGCAGTGTGGATGTTGTGATAGCGAGTTTCACCAAACCTGCTGCTTCGGTTTGTGGAAACGCAGAAATGAAAACCACTCTTTTCACACTTCCTGTTCTCTTATGCTGGACCTGTTCCCAAAAAATGTCCCTACAACCCGTCACAGAGACGGTTCATGAACCAAATATATCAAGAGTACACCGGAGTCACCACCTTTGAGTTGTTTCTGAGAATTAGAGGGTTTGACTACAACTGCTCAGATATTCCATTTAACGTTGATTCTGGAGTAAACTAGTTTGTGAATTAGTTTGTTTCTGTAAGTATAAAAGGGAATTTTAGTGGATATGTGAAAAAGTTCAGAGCCTCCGCCATTGCCCAACATTCCTTCATGAAACCACATTTAAATTCACTAGATCCTGATTTTCATTTGGATATGCACCATTATTTGAATCTGTTTTTTTTACGTAACCATGCTAACAAGCAAACAAGCAAACGTAATGAAAAAACATATCCTCCTTGTTGGAGGTAATTAAATGTTAGGAAAGTTAGATGTAAACTAATATTTGCAGCCTTTTTTGTAAACAAATCAAAGATAGGATTTGCTTTCTCATTTAAAGTCTGACCTTACTCTTGTTTTCTTTTGGTGATAGATTAATTAAGTTTTCTAATTTCATCTGAATATTCTATACCCACATTTACCTCCATATACACAACATTAACCAAAATAAAAGCTCAGGTACAGTAACAAAAGCTTTCTTTATTGAGCCTTGAGCTCGGCGTAGATAAAAGAATCTAAGGTTAAGCTTGATGTGTTGATCATGAAGCAGGAAGAATGATGCTTTGTTTCCCTGATGAATCGTCCTGTTCGCATTGTTCCCGGCCTCCAATGAAGCAGATGAGTTATTCTAACAAGGCCTCTGAGTCATTGTCGACCAGAGAAGAGGTTTGAAAACACTTTCTCTGTGTTGTGACGACCTCGCAAGGACGGGGGTGCAACTAGCCACAAAGATCTTCTGCCATCTTTCCTCTAATATTGTGTTTCACTCTCACTGATGTGTTCCTTTCCCCATTTTCATGGAAGCAGATAATTGTTAATATGTGTTTGAGATGTCAGATGGTGAAGTTCGATGTCTTGTCAGATGTTGGAGCAGCAGAATGCGGCCCACACACAGAGCTCAGTGACCGGCCTGCAGCTGCAGGAGGCCCTCCAGCAAATCTCCAACATCAGCACAGCGCTGAGTGACATCCAGGGCTACTACCAGAACCAGGTGTGTGTAGACCTGATGAAAGGGAGCGTTGTGACACTGGAGTGAAACGGGCTTATTGAGTCTCTGCATAATGTCCCCTGTTTGTCTCGTCCAGGTAAAAAAGAGTGAGAGCAGTGTGGGAGAGAGCAGCGTCCTCTCGGAGCTGAAAGAAGAGCTGGAGAAGAGAGAGGAGGAGAGGAAGGTTCTGGAAAGTCAGCTGTCTGACGCCAACAGCACCGTCACTCAGCTGCAGGAAGAAGGTAGCAGAGAAAACTGCCCCGACAACTGACTTAGCGAAGGCCCATGAATAAGAAGATGTGCTGGAAGAGACACGCGTTGTAATGTCACGTTGCTCTTTCTGGACTTCTCTCAGTTTATGATACTGGTTTACTGTCGTTCTTTTGCAGTGAAACATTTACAAGAAACCCTGAAGAGGGAGAATTTGACTCATGAACCAGTGGAGAAATCCCCTCCTGCTCCGCCTCCTCCTCCTCCTCCTCCTCCTCCACCACCACCTCCTCCTCCACCTCTCCCTCCTCCCTCTACTGTCAACAAGTAAGTGTCACTCAGAGCTTCTTCTGACATTGAACTGAGTGGAAGTTTCAGTGGACAGTTTGAGTTGCACGTGATCAGTTTAATGATGTTTCAGAGGCGTTTTAACTTTCAGAAATAATGGATGTATCCATGTGTTAAGTATCTAACATTGTAAAATCCATTTATAAAACTCCAGTCCTCTGACACCTGGGATTTCTCTGGTTTTGTTTAGTTCACTTGATTTCCTGAGGAGCAGGAGGAAAAATGGAGCCAGTAAAGATGCAAACAGTGAGTCTCACTGGACCTTCTCCTAATTTTTACTGTTACTGATATATTTTATCTTTGACTGGACTTATATAAACACCACATACTGGATAATTTCTCAAAGTTTGCAATATAATGTGAATGTGATGATATATATATATAAGATATAAGTTTAGATTTGAGGAAGTGCAGAACAGAAACACCAATTATCAAATAATAATAAATGAATCTATTTTTCAATATTTAGAAGCAGCACCCTCTCCGACGGCAAAGGCAATGGATGAAATGATGGAGAGAATAAAAAAAGGAATCATCCTGAGGCCCATGAAAAATATTCAGGTAGAAAAACTGTTTGTGACTGAAATGAGTGTTTTAGGCTTCATGCAAGAACATATTTATTTTCATATCCTTAATTTCTCTTACATGTGTTTGTACGCTGAGTTCACATGAACATGCCACGCCAAACAAAACTTCAAAATTATTTATTTTATTTTATAACGACCATCCATTCATCTTCTCTGCTCACAGGACGATGACAGTTCATGGAGGGTCAGTATCTTTATACCTTTGTTCATTTTTGCTTTTATTATAAAATAAATGTGATTCTGTTGCAGTTGGATATTCTCTTCATATCTTAAATCTGGTTACAGGACCAGAGGAGTGAAAACAGAAAATCAGCAGTTCTGGAGTTGAAAGGAATGCTGGTAGCAATTTCAATTTTCCCTATACAATATGAACCATTACACTGTAAGTGGTAGCACCAACGACTGCATTCTGAAACGTCTTTAACCATCTGACGCTCCAGGGCAACATGAAGGTCCAGCACCACCGCAGACTTCCATCCAGGAGGGGAATGGGCCGAAATGTGGGGGAGGCGGAGCTGCTGCTGGTGCTCCAGAGGAGGAGGAGAGCGATGGGGGAGAACCAGGACCCGACCCAAACACAGGGTATGAAATTCCTGAGAAAAATGTCATCTTCCCTTAATGCTTTGAGCTAATACTCTTTATATACAGTGTTTCCATGCTAGACACACACACTTAAATGTATTAAAAGGAAAAGATAGAAGAATCAAAAACAAACGGCAGATCACTTCCTGCCTTCACCTCCTCTCATCTGCAGGCAAAACCCCTCAGTAATATTTATAACCAGAACAACGTGCCTTGTTATATCACTGTGTTCAGCTGTTGTAGCTCATCCTCTAGTTCTTTTTTTGCTTTTTGGGGATTTCGTGCCTGATAAGATGATGCGCTGATCTCTCGATTAGACCCCCAGCCAGGCGCTCTGTGTGGCCCAGCAGCAGGAGATGCTCCGTGGGCAGAGGAGCGCAGCGGCGTCCCTGTGCTCCGGAGGCTGAAGCAGAACAGGGAGAAGAGAGACTCTCGCATCCGAGCATCAGCACTGATCATCAGCCAGGCAAAATTAAATCAGTCAGAGGAAGACATTGTCATTAACGCTTGATATGATGATGAACTGCAGAAGTCTTTATTGAGCTACAGGGATGTTTTTTTCTGTTACTTTTAAGGAACACATCATGTGTTTGCACTGAAAAAGCCCTGCGTCTGTGATCCCTTACAATAAAATGTAAGGAAACCAGAGACTTGTCTTGGTTTCTGTTATAAACACTAAGAACAGACTCACCTCTGGATCAGATACAGTGCTTGATGTTTGTTTTAACCTCCTGGGAGCAGCAGACGGGTGGGGCATATTGCAAACAACCATCAAATCCCACATTCATGGTCAAACAGAAACAGATAAATGCATTTTTTCAAATTCCATTTAACCCAAGCCTACCCCTGAGAGCCAGGACTTGTTGCGTGTCAAAGGAAATGGAGCTCCCTCAGCCGTGGTTAATGTCCGACATCATTCTTTTTGGCTGCTTGGGTTTTTATTTGATCTAAGTGCAAGTTACAGGGATTTCAATACAGGAGAATACAGATAGAAAATAGCCCGAGCCATTAAATAAAGACACCCTTGAATGGGATGCGCTCACCTTGGCCACTTCTCTCCCGAGGTGTCTGCCTCTTAAAGCTGGATCCAGCAGACGGACGGCGGCTGCCATTTTATTTAGGCACATTAAAGCTCTCACACCCAGAGCCCAGAGGTGTTGCTGAGATAAGAGCCTCAGGTGAGCAGTGCACGTCCCTGCTGAAAGTCTCTTTAAATGCAGCAGGTCGCCTTTTGTTTTCTCACCTCCACACAGATACTGTATATATATGAGTGCACGCATGCATGAGTGAGCACACACAGCCTCACACCATGCCCGTCATCTTATCTCTGTGCCTTTGTTAAAAGCATTTGAAAAGGGGATGAAATTACTCTCACCTTTGATTCCGACACCATTTTAGTGTCTTCACACTGTTTCACATTATATATTTACTTTATTTAGCTCTTTTTACCAAAGCCTCTGCCTTTTCACTCTGCACCATACATTTTTAATTGTTTCTCAAAGGTGTGAGCTTTTCAGATACAGTGATGTGGGCCGCCACCTTCTCCATGTTATTGAATTCATACACGTGATGGATAGTGTGTGTGTGTGTGGTCCGGGTATTACTCATGTTGTGGGGACCGTCATCTGTTTCCACAGACACATTTAGGGGACAAAAATCAAGTCCTCATAACATGAATCATTAAATGTTATGGTGAAGATGAGTTTGAGGTTTAGATTAGTTAAGGTTTAAGTTACATTTTGGGTGAAGTAAGTAGTAACTATGGTTAAGGTTAGAATAAGTTTCCAAGAACCCAATGTAAGTCAATGACCTCTGAAGTCAGCGAGACGTGTGTGTGTGTGTGGGCCTATAGTTATGAGGGCCAATTTTACTTCAGTACCATCATTGTGAGGACATTTGACATTATGAGGACATTTTGGCTGGTCCTCACAACTTCAGTGGGCTGAGGGTTAATACTTGGTTTTAGGGTTAGCATTAAGTTTAGGTTAAGGTTAGGGTCATGAAATGGATTATGTCAATGCGTGTCCTCTCAACCATAGAGAGACGTGCATTTGTGTGTGAGACCTTTCCCAGCATAAACACTGACCATGTCTGGACCCGTCGACCTCACGGGGACTCAAGCCTGGTCCTCATGAGGCAAAACATAATTTCCTGGTTGAAGTTTGATGAGGCCATCCACAATGAGTAGAAGTCATCTGACAAAAAAAACTAAGCAATGGACAGGAACAAACATCTCATCCATTTTATTCTGACCTGAATTCATTCAACACAACGTTTTTTGAAACGTGTAACACAACTGCAATTCTTCCGCCAAACCGCGGTGGCGCTGCAGCCTCTGCCACACCTCTATCCCTTAAGCCCGAGTCCCCTCTCCCCTGCTCTCGTCAGCTCGCACTGAAGACACCGAGGGAGGAAGTTGTAGCAGTTAGCACCCAGCTAGCTATCTGTGTTTTTCTGTTTTATTTGTGTGCGTTGTCTCATATGCAGAGAGATGTGGTTTATTTATTTGCTCAGCTGGCTGTCGCTGGTGATCCACATCTCCTTCGTCACTCTCGCCATAGGTAAGTGCGCGATGACAAGCCCTGCAACTGCTAGCGTGCTAGCCAAGATTTGCTTGCTAACGCTAACGCTATCAAAACTAGCATTTAAAGGTTCAGCGGTAAAGGTTAACGCAGCTGTTTATCATTTTAACATCTCTGCACTGATCGTTGTGTTATTAATAAGACACGCGTGTAAAAAGTAAAACTTCCTCAAGTTTTAAATAAGTTGCCTGTTATCTCACAAACACACTGACCTGTTCACTTAGCTAGCTAGCTAGCTAGCTGGCTAGTTTTGCATCTATTTCCTTTTCGAGCACGATCACGTCATCTATTTTCAAACAAATGTAATTCGCAATATTCATGTTTTACCGTTTAATCTCGGGACTTTCAACTCTTGTTAGTTTTCTAGTGACACTGGCAACTCTTGAGCTGGAAGTAATGTGTGCTAACAGATGCTAGCGTTACCTCTCACTGTACAGGGCTCTCCGGGTTTTAAAGAGTACAAACTAATCAGTCCGTTGTTGTGTCAGCAAACAATGTGTTTGGGTTTGACACCGTCTGCAGCATGGCGATTGAAGTAGCATCCAGCTGCAGTGTGCACAGGGCAAAGGTGGGCATGCTAGCTTCAATGCTCAGAAAAGTTAGCTTGGAGGTGTGATCAGTTGTTTACGTTACTAAATGCTGTCGACAAACCGGCTCCAACAGGGTGTTTGGTTTAGCGAGGTTCTTAGTTTGCTTCTGATCGTCTGCATGATACGTGGCAAAGAGAGTGTGTGTCCACGTAAGTGTGCAGCTGTCAGGTGTGGCTCCTCCTGAACAGCTCTGTCAGTAACCCGGTCACTCTGTGTGTGTGTGTGTGAGCTGCAGCAGAAGTTACTGAAGAGACTTCTTGTTTTTATTTTAATATCATTTAGGTTCAGTGATTTCACGTTTGCTAAGATGTCAAAACACAGGATCAGTGTCATTTGTTTTAAGTTTACCTTTAATACAGTTTGATACGTTTTCACATATGAGTCAATCATTGGTGAAAAAGTTTATACTACAATAAAGGTCAGTCCGTTAATAAGAACATCTTATGTAAGACATTAATTAAGTTGGAAGGATTGAAACTGAAACTCTTACTATTAACGAGTCAGAACTGTGTCTGTTAAGAGCTGAAATCTGTCCAACACTGTGGGGTAGTTTGCTTTACATTCTTTGTCTTGTTTACACTTTTTAAGTTAAACTGTGAAGCAAATACAGTTTTGGGATAGTGTTTGACAAATATGGACTTTGAAAGTTGAATCATCTTATCTTTGTCTTTTGGAAAGTTCAGATTGCTTTAAGTGTGACAGAACAAACTTTCCATGAGCTGTTGCTCTTTGTTTTGGCCTGTTTGAATGGACTGATGCTACTTGGTCTCTTTCCTTACATATTGATTCGCAGCACATTTTCGGTACCGACTGAATCATGTCCTCAGCATCAAGGATAGAAAACACGTGTGGTATATTTTAAAATATCCCAACTACATTATTACATTTCAAAAAATATTTAATTTTGGAACCTTAAATAATATAATTGAGTATCTATATTTAATATTTATGTTTTATGCTTTATCTTAATACTGAGTTACAATATCATAACATTCTGTTTATCTGTTTTTTGTGATTTTTCTTTTCATCACTTGTCCTCGATCAGCTGCTGGCCTGTACTACCTGGCAGAACTAATAGAAGAATACACAGTAGCCACCAGTCGAATTATAAAATACATGATTCTGGTGAGTAGGTTCAGCTTTAGAATTTACTTATTGTAGGCTGATAGCAGTCACTTACTTCATGTGTGATTGCGTCCAGTTCTCTACAGGTGTGCTGGCAGGCCTCTATGTTTTTGACGGCTTCCCAGTGTTGATGGTGGGAGTTGGCCTTTTCACCAACCTGGTGTACTTCGGCCTCTTGCAGACCTTCCCTTACATTCTGCTGAGCTCCCCTAACTTCATCCTCTCCTGCGGTCAGTACGACAGACTCAAACACAAAGCAACTGCAAACGGCATCTTCCTCAAATGAACTTGTAACATCTTCCTCACTATCCTGTTTCCTTTGTCTCCACTCCGCAGTGTTGATAGTGGTGAACCATTACATGGCCTTCCATTACTTTGCACAAGAGTATTACCCATTTTCAGAGGTAAGGATCTCGAGCGGGCGCCATTTTCACATCTCAGATTTATACATATCCAATATTCAGATTAATCCGCTTAGTCATAACTGTTTGTTTTAATGAATTTGGGAAATATGTTCTACTGTTACACATCATTCAGATAAAACTTATTCCACTTATCTTTTTTGGCCTCAGGTGCTGGCCTACTTCACCATCTGCCTCTGGGTGATCCCCTTCGCCTTCTTTGTGTCACTGTCAGCGGGTGAAAATGTTCTGCCGTCCACCATACAGCAAGGAGGTGAGCTTCTCTTCAGGGAAAATCAAAACAGATTTTTATGCCTCTGCACCAGCGACAGCTGTAACCAGAGGAATTCATTATTATAAAAAGATAAGAAATGTGATTCCACACCAAATCTGTCACGTTTGTTTGGATATGGTTCTAAAACTACTGAAGACACATAAAAGCTGCTGAGTTCAGACCGAATCCATTACCTCAGCTACACATTGGTAGTTACAGGTTTCGAGCCCCATTTTTTACTGTACAGCAGCTGAAATAAATACCCCTGTAAGACCACATTTAAATTCATAATAATTCAATTAAGTGAGAATATTATCTTAAACTCTTAAATGTATATAAAGTGCAATTTTTTACTTTTACTTAAGTTTACTTTTTTAGAGTAAGAGTTAAGTCGGTGAATAGATCACATCAGGTATTCTGGTGTCCAGCAGCCCGGCTAGCTCAGTCGGTAGAGCATGAGACTCTTAATCTCAGGGTCGTGGGTTCGAGCCCCACGTTGGGCGCAGTATCCTTTTCCCACTGTCCATTTGTTCCCACACTTGAATTTCTTTTCACATGTAATTGAACTGTTCATTCTGGATCATCTGCTCTTATACCTGAACAGATTTTCCTAAATTGGGAGGAAACTTCCCTGTATATGAAGTTGGTCAATAAAGCCGAAACAGATTCTGTGTGAACTCAAACAACAGATTTATTAGATTTCACATAACAACCAGCAACTTTTCAAATCACATCACACACGTGTGGTCACATTTCCTAACGTCCAGACTTCTAAACAGATTTCAGACTCCTGCAGTCGTGCTCAGGATCATTGGTGTCATATGTTATAATTAGTAACTGTTTCCATTCCTTCCTTTTCAGATGACGTGGTGTCAAATTACTTCACTAAGGGCAAGAGAGGGAAGAGGTCGGGGATCCTCCTCGTGTTCTCTTTCCTCAAGGAGGCAGTGCTGCCCAGCCGACAGAAAATGTACTGAAGAGCTCAGACTCTGGGTGCAGGTTCGGGGGGTCAGGGGTGAGTGTGAGAGTGTGTGCCAGAGATTAAGGGGGAGGCTGGAATGACTGTGAAAATTTCTGGACAGGACTTAAACTAAGCAGAGGACAAAAAAGGGGGAAAGAGAGCACACGAAGAGGACGGACCAATGAACACAGGAGAGTTTTCTGCTGGACGAGCCGACGAGTTTACCCAGACCACTTTTGTCTGTCTCTGTCTGGACTGATTGCTAACGACATCTACCAGAGACCTTGCAGACGAGAACTTGTCTTTAGCGCATCGCTTTTATTATTGTGACTCCATTTTTAAAGCTTTGGTACAAAAGATATACGTGTGCAGGTTTGAAATTAACAACCAACAAATATCTGTAAATTTTTTTTGACTTTTGGCAGATAAATCGTTATCTTTATTTTTTTCTTGACACCCTGCTGCTCATCAGAGTGGAAACACAAAGTAGTAGTGAAAATAGTTCAGGAGACAAAGTACGACTGTTGAGAAGGTGGTTTGGAGATTGGGAGATTTTAAAGGTGCTTCCTCTCTTAATCCTGACGTCTGTGTTTTGTTTTTTTTGTTGTGAAACCCTAGAAAGGATAAAACTAGCCAATCAGCTGCAGGTAAAAATAAACAGGTCGCCACTGAAGCACTTGGGATTAAAATGAAAAAGCTCAGTCTGTAGTTAACTGAAGAAATCAGCTTCTGATCTGTGGAAGTACTTTTTTTGATTGCAAAGTATGACATGGTATAAAAGCCCCGCCCTGTCACAGCACACTGATGAACAGGGTTTAAATCAAAGGTGGTTTGATAGGATTCATTTTCCCTTTCAATTTGATGAGCTACAAGAGAGGAAATCATCAACATCTCACCACGGAAACGACGCACGGTGAGATTTTTTTCTGTTACTCCTCAGATTCCCACCCTTTTTTTGGGATTTTTCTTTTTTTTTTTTTAGAGAAGTCACAGTAACAAACAGATTTTTTTTGTCACTGTCAAAGACGAATGAAAACACTTCTGAAGATCAAACCTGTGCTGGGACTCTTGGTGTTGGGGACAAAACGCTGCTCAATCTGGTTTGGTGAAAGTTCGATTGAAGAGACAGAAGTTCTTTCTAACAATCTCTCGAGTGTGGATAATTGTCGCCTGTTAAACACTCAATTGTAAAATAAAATAAAAGATTTTGTTGAAATAATTTGGAAGATTAAATGGTTCTTTCCACAGGTTGTGTCAGAGGAAATAGAGGCAAGCGGATGTTGAGGGTGGGGTATGAATTGGGGGTGAATAATTCCAACGAGTGTCCTCACTGAAATAGAAGTACAAGAATATATATTTGTGTCAGACTGTTTATCTGAATGGTGTTAAATTACCCAAGTCCCATGTGGCCCGGTCACAGTGGGTGCACCAGGCCGAGGCAAGTGTGCACTTTGACCCCCACTGAGGTGTGAAGTGCTTCGTGAAGGGAAAAGACAAAACCACGACACACACACACACACTCACACACACACACACCCACAGCTCTAGTTGACAGGCCACCGCCCGTAGACACACACACACATACTCTGTTGACAAGCCCTCACCTGGATCCCGACTCACTCCCCTGGGGGGATCAGTGAAAGTGCAGGGGTACATCTGTGACAGGTGACCCAGTTCATTCAGGGTTTACTCCTCGCCCCTCGACTCATCCTGCTTTCTGGAGAGTCTGACTTTTTCAGGTTTGTCACTCAGAGCTGAGGTTATGAGATGGCCGGGTGTTTCATGAGGACATTTCTGCTCTTGACGTCTCCTGCGTGCCTGACTCTGTGAGAACTCTGAATGAAAAACTATGACGATGTTAAATCTAAAAATACATCACACGATCCTGTTCTTTCTACTTGCAACTAAATAAAACAATTAAATGTTACTATGATATATTTTACACAACTTGAACTTGAAGCTCTTTCAGCGCTCACATCCAGGCTCCAACACCTCAACCAGGTGCTCGGGCACCTCCGTCCAGGGTGAGCGGCTCGTTCCCTGGGGGCATCTTCTGTGCGTGACCTCCTCGATGACCCGCGCCTTAAAGTCCTGAGGGGATTTGATCCTGGACGCCATGGGGAACAACACCCTCTTGAGGATGTCCAAAGGCACGTCAGGGGCGTAACGAGGCATGCTCTCCCACTTGGTGATATACTGAGGCCGCCCCCCGCCACTGCTGTCCGTCCACACCATGACACTGTCATGGAGGTCAGGCCTGGATTCCCTCGGCCTTGGCTTGAGCTTCCTCAGACCCACATTAGATGTATCGTGATCGGATGAGAGGCACTTTGTGTGGTACTGGCTCACCATGACTTTGGGGGAGGAAGCCTTGATGTTGGGTAAACCTTTCTTGGCCGCCCACTCATTCATCTTCCTGTCTATAAGAATCTGAAATCACATATAGTGGAAGTGAAGCTAGAAATCTGGATTCCTGAATTCAGGTAATTTATGTGATGTCCTGTTTTACTGATTTACAACATACTGACCCTTTTGTTGAGCTCATTCAGTTTGGCCTCGGCAACAAGATCCCTGTATAGAACCCGAACTTGCTTCCTCTCCTCCATTTCTCTCTTCTTCTCTGCCAGCCACACGCAGCCTCTCAGATACCTACACAGACAAGTCGTGTTTTAAGCAACTGAAACTTGTTGGACTTTTGATTTTGCCGTGAATTGTTCCTCCAGCTTGTTACCTCCCTACGTCTCTGTGGGACCAGACGCGAGCCAAATCCAGAGGTGTGTGTCCCATGTCGTCCTGGGCCATCACATCTGCACCGGCCTGCACGAGGATCTCTACGCAGTCCAGGAGGCCTGCGGCAGCTGCGTGGTGCAGCGGTGTTTGCCCAGAGTCTGTGGTTCTGGTTAGAAATGATGAAACGTTATTATCTTATTTGTGGCTGTTCATCATCATGTACTGAATCATTCATCTGACTTCTTATTCTCTCTATTTTCATCTCTGAGATGTATTTTGAGGAACATTTCAAAATAAGGCCCCTACACACTGATGTCTGCTCCGTTCTCCAGCAGGAATCTGAGACAGGCGGCGGACTTGGGCGAGCTCTGGGAGGACATGACCATGTGGATGGGCCGGCGCCCCTGAGGATCGCTGCTGTCGAGCTCGTCCAACGTGGTCTTCACCAGGACCCGAAGAGGACCCAGCTGGCCGTAAAGGCAGGCCATGTGGAGCGCAGACAGACCCTGGAGGACCGAACACACAAAGTGTCGTCTCAGTACTGTTTAATTCATATGCACAACCTTTTTTTCCTACATGACCTGAGCTCACACTGAGTCAAAGCACCTGAGCAAAGACGAGTGAGAGGGCGATAATGACCAATAGGCTTTTCTCCACAGATCTTAGTCTGAGCAGGAAAAGCACAAGCACAACTGATGACATTAACAATGGCTGCAGTAAGTCATGCTCTCGCTGACTTAAATGGTCGAAGGCCTTCACTGATAACATCTCTCACACCCGTGCTTTTCCTTCACACGAACGTTGGCGTGTTCCCAACGTCCCAACTCAGGAAAATGGGACTTTCTGAGGAGCACATAAATGCACCTTCAGGTTTGTCACTGTGCTGTGAAAGAGGAAGTGATTCCTCTCCAGCCAATCAGCTGCAACCTGAGGACCTGAGCACACCTGCTCACCAGTGAGCTGAGCTGCTGAGGTGTTTGAAAAGGAAACATGGAGGATAACTGAAGATGGTGTGGAGATATGTGCAGGACACTGCAACCTCACCATGGGTGGGAATCCCTGAACAAGGCCCCATGACACTAACTCTCTAGCAGAAGCTTCTGGATTTCAAAGGTTTGGTTGAAGTCTGGTTTTTCTAAATGTATGTGTGTGGTGGAGGTGTGCACTTTACTACTTTCTTGTGATACTAGAGGGATCGTTTGGAAGATTGAAATGATGTGGGTCGGTTTGGTTTCAGGTTTTTTTTTCTAAACATCACCACAAAACGCTTTTTTCCCCCCAAATCCGATGACGTGTGAACCCTCCTCGCTACGTTTGCATGATGCACGAGCAACTCACACATGTTGAACTTTCCTTTGCATCGCTATCGATGAACACGACATCGATAAGTTTTATCCTGCAGCGCTAGATGTGTCTGATGATTTCTGCGCTTTGCATGAAGTCAGCTGATAATTCAAAAACTATTCGTGGTATTAATTTATCTCATCAAACTGAGTGTGTACCTGAGTGTGTGTACCTGAGTGTGCACCTGTGTGTGTACCTGGGTGTGTACCTGTGTGTTAACAAAGAAGTCCAGCTCCTCTGATCGGCCTCTGGCAGCTGCGGGGAACGAGCGTCTGTCCCGGGGAGATCGGTGGGAAACGTTCCTGCAGACAGAATCGTGCAGACTAATAAATACTAAATAAATTCAAGCTTCAGTGTGATGTATAAGTCACGTTCTGTGGTAAGTTTACTAATTAAAATACTTAGAATCACTGCTTTAACAGCTTTAACAGTCCACCTCTACTTCTGTTGTTTCCTTTTACAGCCGCTAAAATATCAAACTACAGCGAAATCAGCTCAGCTTGATTCATGCACATTATTTAAATTGTCTTATATATAGAGTAAATATAAAACTAGAATAAACTATTCAAATAGAAAAAACATATTTTACCTTCGTCTCCGTTTTCCGGGTTTCTTGTTATTTTCCATGGTTGCCGTGGTAACACAGGAAACCGCCCCGATTCCCCCGCAGGGTCGAAGTAAGAGTCCGGATACTCAACTGAGAGTACACTCCCAGTATAGTAGTAGTACAAAGTATCTCCATCCAAGGTAAACAGCTCGTGCAAAACAAAGGAAAACAGACACAGAGTCTGAGAATCCAACAAAAACACATTGAAAGAAACTTGAAGACACCAGTAATGCACTTTAGGAGCAGAGAAGAAGGAGAAGAAGACACAGTATAGCCTTTGTTCTTCTTCTTTGATCATGTAATGGTCATTCTTCTGTCTCTTGACTAAAACTGAAAGTAAATCCCTCCTCTTGAGTCCATTATGTTCAGTAAACGTGAGTTTACATGTGACTGTGGCAGAAAGACACAGACAGATGAGTGGCTGCAGGCCGGGCAGATACTTCATCCTCGTACCCGCTCTCTCCTCCTACGTCTCTGCCTGTGCCTGTATGGTATTGACAGTGCGTCAGTAAAGCAGATCACTCTCATAGCCTCGCAGCATGTGGAGGTCTGACTGGAGCGTTTGTTCCGATGCCTCACGCGTGGCAGCGAGGCCTGGACGTGGAACGCTCATATTCTCTGTGTCTCTCTGTGTCTCTCTGTGGCTGAGGGTCGATGGGCTCATGGAGGATAAGGCCTCTCTGGTCACAGCTATTTACCCCTGACTGAACTGAGTGTGATGGACTGCAATTGAGAGGGTATATGTACAGTATGTGATGTTGGGAACAATGTGTGTCAGGGCAGAAATAATAGAGTGTGAGGTCGAGATGTGAGAGTGAGCGATTATAAATCGGAGAAACACATTCGAGGGGTGTTTGGGTTTTTAGTTTTTCTTTATTTCTTTAATTTGTGGATCTTGATGACACAAATCAGACGTATTCCGGGGACTGATGTCCATGAGTGTGTGAAATGTGCAGCTCGATTGAATTCATGTGAGCAGGATCTATGCATCTATGCAGTAAACATGATTATTTATCATGACCCTTAGAATTTTTAGAGAAATTGAACAGCTCTTTTATTTTGTTTTATTGTTTTCAGTGAATGTCTGGAACTTGTTTTATTTCTCCTTCTACTTGCCTTAAACCAAAAGTTGTACAATATCATTAGCACTCAACAACTCGGTCACCATGTATTGTTCTACATTTACACAAAAACATATTAATATTTATTAACCCTGTTTAAGCCTCAGTCTTTCAGCGTCAGTGGCACCTGTGTGTGTATAGTTTTTTATTCCGATCTTTAATTTGTGTCCATCAGGCTCCAGTGGAGGGTCAAGGACGGGCCAGCGACCCCCAGCTTTCTGCTCCCAGCTCCAACCCCCCAGAGCCTTCGCCTTCATCACAACACGGCCACGCAGCCATGCCAGTGACTCATGCATGCAAGTGCACAGAAAGAGTGAGTCCATCTGTCAATTTGTGTGTGTGTGTGAGAGTATATACACATTAATGCGTACTGTGTGTGTTTGTGAGTGTACAAGGGTCAATAGCAGGGGAAGAGCATGGCCCCTCTGTGGCCTCAGTGGCTTCCTAAGACCTTGGTCACATGTCAGAGAGGTTGTACGGAGCCATCGGTGTAGAGCTCTTTCATGTTTGATTTTCAGCACAAGTCCCATTAGGCCGACCTCCGACATGACCTCTTTCCTTTGACAGTTGTGTGTGTGTGTGTGTTGTGATTGTCCATGTACTGTCAAATGCGCTCTGCATGTGATTGTGTACTCTTTAAAAGCTCCAAACCGTAAAAAGCTTTCTGACGTGTGACGGCCTGTTGCTTGTTTTCGTAGAAATCTAGACAAGAGCAACTGTTTATCTGTTCCCTCTTGACGATGCATATTACTACACAATGAAACGTGTGTGTGTGTGTGTGTGTGTGTGCGCATGCTTTAGCTACAGCACATGCAGTTTGTGTGGGGCAGATTAGCAGCGGGCCGATCAGAGCTGTCTAAACCTGCTTAGGGCGAGGATGAAAATGAGATCATGTCCCAGCATCCTCCTGGCGGGCACTCCCATTGGCCCGTCACATCATCCAATCGCACCCCATCTGTTTTTAAT